ACGTGTTCGTGGAACGGATAGACCAGCTGAGAAATCAGCTTGATCTTGTATCTTGCAGCATGTATTAGGTTGGAAAGACAAGAATGTCGCTATTTTCGGTTTTTTTCATGAAAAATTGGGATTTCTCATGAATTGTAGCACATCCAGGGTCAAAATTTTATGGTTAGAACCTCGAAGGTTTTCAGTACACAACTACATTTGTGGGGAGAGCCCAGGACTATTAATAATAAGAGCGGAATTTGCCGTTTTTCGGCTTTTCTTGATTTCTGACTCGCAAAAAATTATGGCAAGTGTGCATGTGGATAGGTGCAAGTGTCTTATAACTCTGGAGCAAGTGAGAGGTTCGTGAGATTTTTTAGAGCGGAAATCGTTTTTTGGCACTATGAATTGCTTTTATGTTTTAGCCTTGAACTTCGCAAAAACTGCAACTCAACCAAATATCTACGGGTTATATTGTGGGCTTGCTTTCTATCGAATGATACCTCTCATATAGTTATTCAGGTTCGTCCTGTTACTCTGCTGTCAAAAACGATATTCTTTTCTTTCCGACCCAACAACTTCAATTGGAGATTTCTTTTGCTACTTTGAAGCTACAATATCAGAAAAACCTAGAAATACAAGTACATGAATGGGCTTACGATGAAATCGCATCTAAGAAAGGCAAAATAAATTGAACATGGAACAGAATGCTCCTCTCCTTATATTTGTTTCACTCGCTTACTGCTACAAGGGCAAATTCTGATTGATTCGCATCCACCCGCTATGTACACAATGGTCATTAAAAAAACAGCAGCTTGCAAGCGCTGTCGTTTGCGGTTCTAACATGGAAAAGACATCACTAATAAATTGTGAAGGAATTTATGTTACTGTGTTTAGCTTCAAGCATTTACCTTATATCCACTTCTTCTTTACGGGGGTGCATGAAATACCATCTACAATAGAATACAATATGAATGAAATTAAATATTTTATTGACAAGTTATGTATCAGAGAAACGACTGTAATTTTAGTTTCATTGCACAAAATTATTGCTGTTGTTCCAGTTTCTTGATGGATTTCAGTACATTCCGAGAGCTCGGCCTCTTCTCACGTTCCGACCAACAGGACTGAAGAATCTAGAACAGCAAAGTCTGTTTCACAGACCGCTTTCTCCTCTTTACAAAACTGCACATCAAACGGGCTCCTTTACCCTGCTCTCTCACCTTCCACCCTTCTCATTTTTGGGGTAGCAGTGATCTTACCTCAAGCATTCCATTTGGTAATAGATTTGCTATAATGTCCAGTTCACATGTTTTACGGTATTCCCTTCCACGGATTTCGTTTACAGTCTCATTCTCGAAAGGTATAGCAGCTAGAATGGCCAAAGAACATTTGAGTCTCTCACCATTTCTTCTGTTTAAACGAAAATCGTGGACTAACCGTGATGGAACATGCTCCAGAGGATAGTAGCCAGGGTCCAGATGACTGCTTTATAGTCATACGGTTCCGGTTCAGTGCCATCCTTGCTATTCAAACATTCCCATGGAATCCACCTAGAGATATCTCAAACCAGTTAAACGGTATCATGAGATTTAAAAAAGCTTCTAAACAGATCATAACCCCACCTGCACCTGTCCACATCATTGAGATAAACTCGTTTTGGAAAAAGGCCAGTTGATAAACCAAAAACCACCACCTAAATTTGTCGTCATTCATCCAACTACCCTTAATTGTTATTAGGTCGTTGGATAAGTTTTGTTACACTTCTTTCATTCTAAATCAAAGATAAAAAAGCCTAACATTCGGCATAAATAAGTAATGGACAACAAATATTTATTGGCAGCATCGCCATCTTCCATAATGGATTAGGTATAATATGAAGGCAATTTTGTAACTGCACCTCGACCTCCATGTCTTTCTTTTTCTTACGAAAACTCTCTCATTCCCGATTTTCTATTATTGATGCTTATGTTTTCAACAACGCAAGTTGGGAATTGTCAACAATAATTCGAAAACTCCCAAAAATTCAAAAATTGGATTTTAATGATTTGACATGTACATACCGAATAGCTACAACCTCCACTTGATCTGAAGAAGAAGAAAAATTTTAAGAAAGTTATGAAGATTTTTTTTCATCAAGTGTTACAAAACATGTGTTACGACCTAATATGTTAGGCTTACTTTCACAGTATTCTCAGCAGTCAAGAGACAAACATCCAAAGAAAGCTTTTTATGGATAAACTTTGCTCTTTCGAAATAATCGATCGCTGTAGCTATTTGACGTGCAAACTTCAAAAGCTGGAAAAAACTAGTTTTCAAATATATTTTTCTTGAAGCGTATTTTTAGACCTCTGCATTGCTTCTTTGTTCAGCGCTCACATAGCTTGGTAAACTTTGAACCGCAGAGTTCTCAAGAAGTATGGTTATTTGACTGGCGGTCACAATGCTACCCCATAAGCGTTGTGTGTTCCTGAATATAGCTTACGTTCTGGATATGAGGACGCCTAAACTAAAGTTTTAGATGTAAAGACAGAATTAGGAGACTTCAGAAAGTTGCGCGCTTGCCAACAGCTGCACTTTTTGCGCCTCTAAGTCGCAGACTACCAGGACCTACCAAAGGCATTGGAGCGGAACGGCTGAGCATCAT